ATATAAGAAACTGCAGGAAATCTATCTGCAACACCAAAGACATAGAATATTTAGTCAAGGGCCTGAATCCCTTGACTAAAGGGGACAACAATGTCCCACATGAGTCCAGGTGAAAATGCAGAGCTCATGACAATGCCTCCCACGAGTCCAACTGGTGGTCTAGAGCCCACAAGAACTCACTCACACCAGTCCCTTTTATGGATTCATGCTGGGAAAGCCCAAAGGTCAGCAGTGGAAGCTAGAAAGTCTATGCCAGCAGGGTGAAGGAGCTGTGCTGGTAGGTTGAGGGTTCTATGCTGGAGCCAAGAAGTCACACTCACAACAAAGACCAGGGCTGTCCTGAAAAGCACTACAGCCATCCTCAGTGACACAGAGGCCCCGAGCTCCTCTGACGCAAGCACAGTCGAGTACATGCCAGGAAGCCAGTGTGACGAGTTCATCCTGGAGACCAAGCGGCACATGTCTTCCTCTCCGGAGCCAGGAAGCAATGCTCGATGTGAGGACCAGAGCTTCTCCAGGAGAACCTAACTGCTTAAATAGCAACTCATGGGAGAACCCACAATGCCTCAACGCAATAGCTTCTCCTTCTCCACGTCTCTATTTATGCTGGCAACTTTATTCAGGTGGAACATCTACGCCCAGTGCCATGCTGATGTAATCCAGCTGGCATTAAGCTGACCACCAGTTCTCAGTCCATAATACAAGCACATATCTGACAAAAGAGTCCTCCAGTAGGAACCACGAAGATGAATCAGGTGTGGTGTGCACACCTGTAAACCCAGCACTCTGGGAGTCTGAGGCGGAGGATGGAAAGTGGAGCCCAGACTGGGCACTTTGGAGAGATCTTATCTCAAACTACAAACTTAAAAAAGGGCCGGGGATGTCACTCAGGGAGAAGAGCCTGGTTCAATTCCCAGTACAAAACAGGCAAGAAAAGAAAAGAAAAATCTATAAGGATAAATAAACCAATAAAGAACAGGCAAGACTCGAGTAGGCATCTCAGAAAGGAAGAGACATAAAGAGCATAAGTAGATAAAAAAGTTCACAACACCATTAGTCATCAGGGTGTAGCAAATTAAAACCACAATGAGGCATCAGCTCGCATCCAGGACGACAGCTAAACTTTTAAAAACAAATGTGATGAGGATGTACAGCAACCAAAACTCTCGGACCTGGCTGGCGAGGGTGTAAAACCGTCCAACCACTCTGTAAAATGGCTTGGCAAATTCAACCTACTGATGCCCATGACTCAGCAAATACTTCGGGTTCTGGGACCCGGAACCCTACAGATTTACTCAAGGAAAATGAAAACATGCCCACGCAAAGATGTGTGCAGGAATGTGTAGAACAGCTTCATTCATAATTCTCACCTGTAGGAGGAATCTATAGACAGATGATAGTAATAAAAAAGAAATGAGCTTCCTAGAGCTACTGATAGATACAACAGCATGAGGAATCTCGGACACATGGTGAACGCAGGAATCTAGACAGGAAGCGTCCACACTGCATGGCTCTGTCAAACAGCCCTAGCTGCGTGACAGGAAAGAAATCACAACTGTGGGAGGCCTGGGCAAGCAGGGTGGGACAGACCAGGATGGGCAGGTGGGAACTTTCTAGGGCACTGAAAAGATTCTGTATCTTGATGGGCTATGGGTTATGTTTATCAAAGAAGAATTCAACTGTACACTGAAGATCTGTGCATTTCACGGTGTGCAAACTATACTCAATTTAGAAGAGACAACAGAATGGGTTTGGGTTGATTCCTCTCATGCAACACTGTGTTCCCACACACTTGAAACTGGAATGATTTCTCAGTGGGTTTGGGAAGTGGGTAGAATTCCAGCTGATGCTCTGGGAATGAACTCAACCCTACCTCTTGGCATTGCTTATACCTGAGAATCCCATCCACCCCAACAAAAAAAGACTAAGCTCTGCTAAAGTAGCAACATCTGTGTTCATTTCCTAGACCTGCTAGTAACAAGTTAGCACAGAGTGGGGGCTTAAAACATTTATTCTGTAATAGCTCAGGAGACCAGACATCCAAAGTGAAGGCATCCTTTAGCTTCTAGTGGTTTTTGGCAATCCTTAGCATTTCTTGTAGTATCAGTCACATCTGTGTTACTATAACGAAATTCCTGAGGCAGCCCTCCTTATAATGAAAAGAGATTTATTTAGTTTATGATTTTGGAGGCCAAAAGTCCAGGAGCAGGTAGTCTCACTGGTTTGACCTCTAGTGAGGGCCTCATGGAGGAAGTGATTGCAGAAATATAAGAACACATCTCCAAACAGGTGCTAGAGAGTGACACAGGGGTCAGACTGGCTCTTAATACTATGTGCTCTAACTAGAGCTCAGGGGACCTATGAGAGTCCCTCAGGCCCTTGTGAGGGCAGCGACCCTATGACTAAAGGCCCACACACTAGGTACCTCCTCTTCAAGGTTCCACATCATTTCCAAATCCCATCACCCTGGAGACAAAACTTCCAACATGTGAACCCGTGGGGACACACTGCATCCAAACCATGAGTCTATAGATGTGTCCCCGGGTGTTGCCCACATTGTCACATGGCTTTCTTCCTGGTGTTCTCTGCACATCCTTTCTTCTCTTTTATAAAGAGACCAGTGGCTAATTGGGCATGCCCTTATTCAAGGTGCCTTGACTTTGACTTACTAATTACCACTATAAAGATTCTATTTCCAAATAAGGTCACATTCCTAGGTTCTAGTAGACACAAAATCTGGGTGACAGTATTGAATCTACTAGAATACCCTCTTGGCCCCCCAGACTCCAGTGGAGATGAAAACAGGAAGAGCATCTTCAGGAGCAGCCTGGGGTTTTGGGGGGCACCCTGAACAGCCTGTGGGTGACTGTGGGACATGCAGGCCCAGGCAAAGGAAGTACAGGTAGTTAAGGAAAGCACACAACACCAAAGGCCACAACTGTGGGCTACGTTCCCAGAGAACATGGGGTTGTAGGAGATGTCCCTGATGATTCTGGGGGTGCTGTCATCCTGGACTGGTGTCTGATCACCCAGAGGTGCCACTGAAACATTGAAGGCCCGAGAGCATGTGGCAATGCTTGTTAAATTCTGTTTTAGTCGTGTCTCTCATCATGGGACAAAATACATGATTTCTACAATTTAAAGGAGGAAGGTTTATTTTGGTTCACAGTTTGGAGAGGTTTCAGTCCATAGTTGACTGGCTCCAAGGCAGGGTAATATGGCAGAGGGGCACAGAGGATGGGAGATATAACCTTCTGAGCCATGCCCACTGTGCCTACCTCTTCCAGCCAAGCTCCTCTGCCTAAGAGCAATTGGCTATCAGACCCTATAATCCAGTCGCTTTCTAAAGGGCCTGCCTGTGATCACATGAGGCACTGGGGGAACATCCAGGCATAAACCATGACAAGTCCCCAGGAAAGAGGGCGTGGAGACATTTAGGGGACGAGCTCATGACCATGGCAGAAGCAAAAGGTTACTTCCTTGCTCTGGTTTAGAGTTAATTACCTTTGACGTTTTTTCCAGAAGGGAGTTCTGGCCATTTCCTTTTCTCCAGAGGAAATGAACCCTTAGTGGGATGACAAATCAATCCCCAGCCTTCAGACCTTCTAATGAATATGCAGAGCCTTCACTCTTTTCAGTTTAGTCCTATCAAGGCCTGTTCCTGGGAAAGGCACTGAGCAGGACATGAAGGGTCGGCTGCCTTGTTCAGGTAGAACATGCCCAGCTTTGGGATGCTGATCTTCCTGATCACAGGGAGGCTTAGAGGCCTGTGGTCCTTACAAGGGTGGCCGAGCCCCAGCCACATGCAAGAATGTCTCCTCCCAGCAGGCTGGTGGCCTCTCATCCTCCTCACTAAGATTTCAGTACCTGGTCATGCTTAATATGTCCTCCTCTGAGCACCTGTTTGAAACTGAGCAGGCTGCAAAATCAGCACTGCCAGGCTGGGGTGCAGCTCAGTAGTAAGTGCTTGCCTAGCACCACATTTCCAGCACCAGAAAAAGAGAAAATCCAAAACAAAACAGTGAAAATCATGAAGAAAATCACCATTACTTACAGATGAGAGAAGATGCGTGTGGAGGGCCGAGCTGGCCTGGTGGCTTCTACATGTCAGACCTTGTCAGATCAATGCCGAAGCCCTGCAGAAATGATGAAAGACAGCTTGTTACAAACGTTCAGTTATCTTTTGGTGTCTATCAGTCTGCTTGGGCTGTCGGTATGTATATCTCAGACTTGGTGGCTCAGACAAAAAAAACTTCTGGTCTCACAGTGCTGGAGACTGAAGCCCAAGACCAAAGCACTGTGGCTCATTTCCTAGTGGGGCCAGTCCACCTGCCTCGGGTTTAAGCCTGGGATGGCCACTCAAAACCTCATGCACTCAGAGGAGGGATTAGTGGAGGATGCAGGATTACAGGGGTGCTACAGCTGATTTGGTGTTAGGAGGGGGGCCTGGTTAGAGGTGAGTCATTGGGGGTAGGTGTGACCTGGAAGGGTAGAGACCCATCCCTGGCTCCTCCCTTATCTCTCTGCTGCCTGGCTGTTGTGGCATGAGCAGCTTTACCTCTACCATGCCTCTCTGCCAGGCCATTTTCTGCTTGAAGCCAGCCAACCACCGACTGAAAAAGTGAACCAAATTAACCCCTCCTCCTTTAAGTTATAGGTGTCAGATGTTGTGTCTTACTTACAGAAAGGTGACTAAGACACGGCTCTTATTCATGTGGCCTTTTCTCTATGTGTATGAACTCTGGTGTCTGTGTATATGAACTCTGGTATCTGTGTATATGAACTCTTTTTAATAAGGACACAAGTCACTGAAATTGGTGGGGCAGGTTTGTGACCCCAGCTCTCCGGGAGGCTGAGGCAGTAGAATCTCAAGTTTGAGCCAGCCTGGGCAATTTAGCAAGACCTTATCTTTAAAAATAAAAAAAGCTGGGGATGTAGCTCTGTGCAAATGCCCTGGGTTCAACTCCCAGTACTGAAAAAACAAACAATCCAACCAGTCCTTGTGCTTTGGCAGCAAATACACTAAAATTGGAACAATACAGAGATTAATATGGTCCCCACACAAGGATGACATGCAAATTCATGAAGCATTCCATATTAAAAAAACAAAAAACAAAACAAAACAAAATCAATCCTGTGGGATTTCACCTTTATTGATCTTATTTAACTTGAGGCCCTATCTCCAAATATGATCACAATGGGAAGTTGAGGATCCAAAATATGTACTTGGGGCCACAGTTCAAGTCATAATAGCAATTTAGTACCCTGTAGCCTCATCCCCCGATGGGATGCAGGAATCTAAACTGGCTCTTTAAGAAGTAGACCGCATCCAACAGAACCCCAAGAACACAGTCTTCTCAAGCAGTCTTTCTAGCCATGCTGTGATTACCCAATGTTTTATGGAGCCTCCTCTCTGAACTACTAGTCCCAAAGCTAGAAAAAAAACTGCAGAGGTTGGGACCTCACCCTGTCTGGCAGGGGCACAGTCACTGTGGTAGGGGTTGTACCCACCCTGTAGCCACAAGGACTGACTACATTTTCCACACCACTGTGCACTGACCGTGCTGTTCCTGTGTCCAGCATGCCCTTCCCCAGGGGGGCCACTTGGTGGCTTCCTATGTATCCCTGGGGCTCCATGTCACAACCACCCATACCCATAGAAGCTCTGTGGCTTCTGTTCTGTCTCCCAGGCCCTAAATTTCACAGAAGTCATTGTCATGCTGGATGGCACTTCTCGGCTCACCTGTGTCTTAGTTACTATCTCATTGCTGGAATGCAATACTCAACGCCCACAACTTAAAGAAGGAAAGGTTTGTTTTGGTTCGGTCTGTAGAGGCTTCAGCCCATCGTCAGCTGGCTCCTGCATATCACAACCTCACGATCCAGTCATGACTGAAAAGTCCAACCTGTGAGCACATCTAGATATAAACCTTAACAGCCTGTGTCTTCACCCAGCAATTTGCCTTTGAGAGTAGGAGCCTCATCTGCGCGCCAGCAGAACTGAGATCCAGGTCACAGGTCACTGCAGGTGCTCTGGCAGATGTGTGTCAAATCTCTCAAAGTGACTTCTAGTCAGTGCCCTGACCCCATCCAAACCCAGAGTTGCTCCAGCCTGACTCTGTGCAAAGACAGTAGGACTAATGCCATCAGACCCGCTGCCAATATTCTCATCAGCACTGAAGCCCCTTCCTCCAGAACTCAAGGGTCCAAAAGTGCCAGGGTCTCCATTAGCAGTGCAAGGAGGTAGTGAGGAGCCCTCTCCTTCCCATTCTCAGATGGAGAACTTCTGGGGTGCATGTTTTGTCCACTAGTGAACTTCTCCATGGGATGGGGCTCCTGTTGCCCACACTGCAATGGGCTCAGTGCCACCCCCTCCTTGTCCAACTTCCCTGTCATACCATTCTTGTCCCCAACCATTCCTAGCTAAGTGACTTGCATTCAAATCCTTGCCTTGTTTGGGGTGAATCCAAGCTAAGATGCACCCTGGAATGGAGATAGAGCTTGATCAGGGTGCTGAGCATGAATCCCAGCTTTGGCAGAGCTGAGCAGAGCACAGTGAGCTGTTTCCAGATGAGGCATTCTGTGTTACCAGGAACCCAGGGGGAAGGAAACCGAGCACCCCATTAGCACCCAGAGGCTCAGGGAGACAGATATGTCCTATTTCTCTGGTGGAATAAGATCAGAGCCTGACCATGTGGAAGGAGGGACAAAGACCTGGAGCTGACTGAGCAGTCCTGGGATGCTCAGGTTCAGGCAGGGACAGCAGTGATGTTACAGCCCCTGTGCTCTGAAAACCAAGCCTCAGCACTGAGACATCCTGCTCTGCAGCTCCTGGGGCTCTTGGAACAGTGTGATGGGCTGCCCCTGGGCTCTCAGTTTGCACTGTAAAGAGATAAGGTTATTTTTATTTCTGCACAGAGTACAGCAGAGGGTCTAATTTTCTACAAGCAATCAAGAAGGAAGGCCAACCTTGGAATGGCAGGTAGGGTTCCGTATTGGAGAATCTTAGCTGAAATTACAATTTTCTCTGCAAGACTGCCTCTCGGCAATTTTAGAACAGACCCTCGTGCTGTCTGAAACTCTTCCTCCCTTCCCCTGAGCCTAGCTCTGTGATGCTCTGCTTACAGAAAAAAAGATTTGGTGCTCATGTCAGGCCTGGGCCTGTCTCTTGGGATGCTCATTCTTCAACTCAGATATCATGATGGGAGGAAGCTCCAGCAGGCCAGAGATGCTTACACGGGTGGAACCAAGATCTCCAGCCCTAGACCTGGGTGAGCACCCAGCCAGCAGCTGGCAGCAATCTGCTGGCTTGTGTGTGCACCATCTTAAAAAATGGTGCACATTTTTTAATGTAGTTAATTTTAATGTAGTTAAAGGGGTCCCTGAGTCTCCAGCTGAGTCACACTGCTGATGCCACATGGAACAGACAGCTGTCCTGCCAGGTGCAGCCTACACGGGCTGAGTAAGGGCCATAGCAGTTTGAAGCTACCAAGTATTGTGTGCTTCTTACATAGCAAGACACAACTACAATTCCACCTCTGTGCCTTGGACAACTGCTTGCCCTGTCTGGGCCTCCAATTCCTTACCTGTGAGAAGAGAAAGATTTAAAGGCTCTGGAGTGCATCTCAGTTCACATAGGAATGAATCCCTTCAATATGTACCATCTTTCCTGGTTTTCTCATAATGCATAACACCTTTTCTTCAGTTCACTAAAAATTCTTCCCAAAGTACAAAGGTACTTTAATACGAGGGAGGCTTCTGACCCCCCTGAGAGGTCTTGTGGAATGCAGAGTCCAGCACAGGAGATCAGAAGGAGAGGAGGAATCTGCATTGTTAATGCAATCTTGGAGCACTGATGGCTCTTTGAGTAACAAGGCCTCTCTGTGTGTCATGGACAGCTGCCATTGCCCATGGGACTAATGGCATGAAGGCAGCATCTCATTTTGTCCTTGTGATAGCTCTCTGGGGAAGGCTCTGTAATCCTTTTCACTTTACAGATTAGAGATCCAACATCTGGAGAGATCAGGTGACTTGTCCCAGGTCACATGAGCGGCTGCATGGCCGGGATTTGCATGGAAGCCAGTTCATAGATGCTCACTTTCCTCTACCTCTTCTGAGCACCACGTAATGTGAGATTAACCTTTTTTTTTTTTTTTTAAAATTCACCTTTTCATGCCTGCAGCTAGGCAGTTGGGGATGAAAATCTATCATAGAAGAACAGAAGTGGGGACTTGGTTACACACCAGGAATAACAAAGCAGAGTTAACGAAGATAGAGGTGACTTTTTCAGGCTCCCTCTCATCAGCCATGATTAATTTACAGCTTTTTGCATGCTAATGTTTCCCTGCCTTCTGCCAGTAATAAATAACCAATAAACTCTAATACCTAGTTATTATTCATCCGTTTCAGATATTTGGATTTTGATTCTTCACTGCAGTTCAATCACATTGAATTTCTCTAACCAGGACAGCTCCATTAAGAGTCCCCTGCAAGGACACCCTGCCAGGACGGTGACAGTAATGGATAATGGGTGACGAGACAGAGTGGGGAGTTACGACACGAAATATTGGCAGCCATGGCGAAAAAAAGGAGAAGCTGCAATAAAAAACACCACCAAACTCTACTTAAGTAACGTCGGGGTTGTGACACAGACCAATAAAACCAGGGAACTCACAGTTGAGGCCGACACGCCATCCTTAACATGCCTGTTTCTGTGGCGGGAACATGGGGCTATTTAATCACAGCCTGGCACTGAGTGCGCCTGAAGTCCTCTGCCATGAATTAGAATAGCTTGTGAGCCCCCAACTACGTATTTCAGAAAGTGACTTGGAACTTCCTCCATTTCAATTTCCTCAGTGTGTTTTCCAAGCCAAGAAGGCCAATCCTACAAGCAAAGCTGGTTTGCTTCTAGAGTTCATTCTTTCTCCTCTGATTTAAGACCTTTCTGTCCATCCACATTCATTCAACACATGGCAACTCATGTTCCTTTCGGTCTGCTGAGGACTGTCTGTGTGACAGTCTCCATTTTGCTATGTGCCTGCCCAGGAACAGAAGCATCACTCCTGTGGCCTCTATGAGGCCACATCCCTTGGTCACTTCTCAGTTCCTGTTATGGTTTGTGTCTAGATGTCCCCCAAAACCTCATGCACTTTTACATGGGGATTTTTTTGTAGGTTGCTCAATGTAGTGGTGTGATTGATTCATAGTGCAATGCTGGGATTAAGGGTGAGTGATTGCTGGATCAGTTCACTGATAGGATTGGCACCATCTTAATCCCAGCAATCCCAGTCTGGATAAAATGAAAGGGGCAGAAAGAGGCTTGTTTCCTCCTTTTTCTCTTGCTGCTTTTGGTGTCTTCTGTTGCCCCAGCTGCCATGCACTGTTGCCCCTCTGCCATGTGCCACCCTGCCTCAGACCCAGCTATGTGGAACAAAGCCTCTACAAACTGTGAGCTAAACAAACCTTTTCCCCTTTAACTTTGGGTGTTGGGTATTTTGTCTCAGAAACTAGGGAAAATAACTAACATTTGTGGGTCTGGCTACTCCTTCCTGACAGAAGCTCCCAGGATGCTTCTAATATAAGAGGCGTCTTCCTAGAAAGCAGCAGTTTTCAAATGCATTTACTATTTACTATTTACCCTTCCAGAACAGTGTTCTAAAATGAATAAAATCACACACAAAGGATTACAAAAGAAAACTGTCACCCTGAAATATAATTATCATATATTTAAGAATTGCAATATTCTGATACACATGGTTCTTTATTAATGCTTCAAGTAATACCTGGCCTGAGGGTCATAACTACTTTAGTTTTGAAATAGAGAGCTTTAAAAAATGTTTTGAGGTATCTGCAAAAACCATAATGAGATATGAAAATATATGATTTCAAATTATGGTGATAAAGTTACAGATCCAACAATACCACTGTGGTCTGTCACCACATTCATAATTGAAGGAAATGTTAAATTCCAGTTAGTCTTGGCCAAAAACACCCCAGAAGGTATCATTTATTCCGCCCAAATTCATGGGCTTTCTGACTTCTATCCACAGTCCCCTGGGTGGACCTCAGGGATGCAGGTAAGGAGCTGTGCTTTGGGGCGACC